TGTGGGATCCAGAAAACGTATTTATTACCAGTTCTTACCTTTACAAGCAGTTTTGCGATACCTTCTCCTCGACGATAAAACGGTGTTTCTGTATGATGGAATTCTAGCACTCTGCCAGGAAGTTCTTTGTATTCCATGAATGCCTTTGATCCACAACCTGATTATTGAGCATCATTCAAAATTTGACCACCTTTGCACCTTCTCATTTAAAATCTTGCAATTATATTTTATGACAGTTCATTGATTCTTTAAAAAATTAAGTACCTAAAGGAACGCGTCCTAGTGTATTATTCCGCTTGAAAATGGAACTACAGAGAAGTGAGGAAGAAAAAGCACAAGGAGAAATAGAGAACACTCAAACTAAGGACCTTATTTTCGTGTTGTATGACGAACAGGCACAGCGCGGCGTGGAGATGAAACACGCGAGAGAGCACGAGAAGGCCATCGCGCATACTACGAACGAGTAGAGATAAGCACCCTAGTCGCGCACCGAGTCGCGACGGGGTGGGATATAATTGTGACCCGTGCTTCAGTGTGAGCATAATGCTAAGTCACGTGGACATTTTGGTTCTCTTCGCACTATAAATGCACGAGTAGAGAACAGCTTAACCGGACAAGTTCTTCCCATCAATGCAGGTGCTAGGTCGGCAACCAGAGGTTGCGAAACACATCAACAAGACACTATGAAGTTAGAACTTCGATCCTTATGTGCTCCATAGAGCCGGACATGCTCACTGTGGCAGTCTCGTCTGTGTCGTGTTGCTGACCTGCTGTGCTCTTTCGTCACGAAGTCTTTTTTTATTTTAATCTCTCACCCCATTTTCTATTTCTTACCAGGAAGGTCTTTCAGGGTGTGACGAGCTTTTTGAAAACGGCCTTTTGCATGATAAAGGGGCAGATGCGGGCAAGCTAAGGACTAAGCCTAGGCCCAACATAGGCTTAATTAAGCATGAGCCAATGTTTAAACATAAGCCCGAGCCTATGTCCAAACCCAAGCTTAATCTCAGGCTTCAATGATTCTGGTGACCTAACCTCAGGAGGAGACTTGAACTTATTATCATTTGAGCAAAGTGGCAGCACACGCCCGCCACCGCCGTGACGTCATTAGCACATAATCGCGTCCCCACCGCTAGTGAGCTTTTCTTTCCCACTGTTCCAGATACTAAGAATCAAATGAAAAGAAATCACAAGCCTACCTAGGTCTATAAAGAATGACATTGCTTTCTTAGAATGTTGCACCCGTAGAGCCATCTCGAAATAGTGTAAACCTTAAATCATAGTCGATTGAAACAAAAGCACTTATCGAGACAACATTTCTTCTATAACGAAACGATAAAGCGGTTCATTTATACGTATTTATGAATTTTAGTTGCAAGATCTCGTACAATCACAAATAACGAACGACTAGCAATGCGTACACCACAAGGCAACATAAAATTAATGAGAGAAGATAGTAGCAAAAGCTAGAGAGAAAGAAAACAAAGTGCAATTTTACAACTTCAACTGCTTCGTAAATACATTTTTTCATTGACATACCCAGATCATCTCAAAATTGAAAAAGGGTTCAAGAAAGCAAAGTCTCGAAACAATGCCAAATTGTGAACTAGCAATTCGACTAATAGGCAAGTAATGCCTTAGAAGGAGGAACGGGTAGTTATTTCATTATCACAGTGGCAAGATCACCACTACTCATATATTATACTACAGTTAATTCACATGAAACTAGATTATTAAAAGCTGAGAAGTACATACCTATGAAGTATAAGGAAGAAAAGTAGAAAACGATGAAAAGCGCAAAGAAAGTAGCAAGAGACAAACGGGTTATGAGAAAATCTGAACTTTAAACACATCGGTAAAGTAATGGCGAGGCATTGTCAGTGACTAGTAGACGAATTGAAATCAATAACATTTGGTCAGCTGTTTTTGCTTGAACGGCGATAAGACGAGGAAGAAAACACAAAGGGCAGCAGATCAGACTAGGACCATTAACTAGAGACAACCGGCAATTCGGCATCTACCTCCCAAATTATAAGATGTGACATGTCCCGTGCTCGAACTCCTTTTGTTATTATTGGTGGCTCATTTTCTTCACCTGGAATGCGAAACATCAGCAAATTTCACTCTTCTACATTCTATCACTGCATTAAAGATTTGGTTCTCCTCATAATCTAATGTACTAACTAATCAGTGACGTTCTTACTGCTACTCCACACCTAGTGAAGGGTCACAAGGGACCTGTTTGGGTTCTTCATATCTCTATCTTTCAATGATCTGATTGACTCCACTTCTGCAGAAACTTTCAGCATTCATAGGCTGACGACTCAAAAATCCTCACTCCTAAGCTGTCATAAAGTGCAACCATTTAACCTCAGTGGAGCACTGGTCAAAGAGAAGAACACATAGATCTCTATACAAAAAAACTGCTGTTATGAGGTTAGGTGGGGCGGAAGTGGTGTAGTGACAAGTGGCGCGCTCACCACGCGAGCGGTCCGGGATCAAATCCTGGGTCGTGAGTCGCCCGGGCCAACCAAGCCTTCCATCCCTCCGGGGTCGGTTAATTGGTACCAGACTTGTCTGGGAGGATAAAAACACTGACTTGAACATCGGCTGGCCCCCGCAAGTCATTGTATAGGCCACATCGCATTCAAACGCCACTAAATGTAAGTAGAATGCGTGCCGCATCCCAAAAAGGGATTGATCAACGGCAAATGCTTTATCCTTTATGCTTTTTGCTTTATGAGGTTAGGTGAAAACAACCCAGCCAATTTGTGTCGAATTTGGTAATAGTTGCAATAAAACTCAATTCTAAAAGGTAAATGGCAAGTGCTGAGGAAATCCTTATCTTCTTATCTTGCCAATGAGATTCTTGAATGATTGATCTGATTCGTCCTTTAGTTTATAAACTACAGTTTATAAACTTTAGTTTATAAACTTGAAAGAGTCCAATAAGGATTCTTTGATCATCTCCCTCTTGTAAATGAACAACAATTTGAGGAATGTTTCACAAGAATGCTGGGTTGTGAACAAAACTTTCGCCCCAGGCGGGACTAGAACCCGCACCTCTCGCTTTCCGGGCAAGTGCGCTACCAGTTACGCTACCGGGGCACCATTTCATTCCAACTCAGCTTTTCATGGTATACGTACCATAGCTTTCAGCACTCACACGTATAACGTGTTGAGCCGGTTAGCCGATATCGGCAATGACCGCGAGGCTGAAAGCTTTAGCAATGAATTTTGACTTGTTTTGTTTGTTAACTGCTGTTTTTGGCCGCAGTTCGCCTTGCGAATGTTTCAATCAAAAACAAGTCAAAAACAAATTTGAGGAGAGTTCTTTAGAATTCTGTACAAGTTCACAAAGGAATTGTCGCTCCTTTCATCAGCCCTACCACTTCCTTCCACTTTCCCTTCTGTGCGACTATCTACATGCCTCCAGTCTCCCCTTTTCTTTCCTAACTCCTATCGAGAGTTGGTCCCATTCCCTTCCCCCTCACCAACCACCCACAGATTTTTGTATCCTGTATAACCACAGCCATTCTACTGTATGTCACCTACTTAAAGTGTCATTGTGGAAATTACCGTGACAAAACAGTGATGAAGCCTCAGTAGCAAGAATGCATGAATGCGCTTCCCTCGAACGAGAAGTGAAGCATGCCACAATTTCAATTTTTTGCCTGTTTCCTCGAACAAAACGATCACTTGACCCTAAAAAACTCTACAACATACCTATTCGGAAGTCGATGTAACCGTCACCACCAGAAATCACCAACATTTTTCGTAGCTCTGCTTCTTGATCGTCTTCAACTTCACGTGGGGCACCTCAAAACACATAATAGAAATAAGGCAAGGGATCATAATAAGTAATTCAAAAATAGCAAATATCTTAAGGAACTATAGAAAGAATATTCACCAGGCACGGCAAGGAAGAACTTCACGCTATCCTTGTGGCCATGGAAGGAAAGTTGGGCCTGCGTTAGATTGCAATATGGAATAAACGCTCCACCTCCATCTTTTGAAGAAGTCGCATTCTTGAATAAAACAAATTTTATCAAGATCAGTGACTACGTTTGTTTGATCAGTAAAATACTAGGAAATCATGTGCTCTTACATCTTTCCCATCTTTATTGCTTGAATACACTCGCACTAATCCACCAGGGCCGCCGGACGACTTCTTTGCATCACTAGTTTCAACCTTCTGCTCCAAACCTGGAAAAATTTCATTTCAGCCTGCAGTAACCTCGGACTTTGAGTCAACAGGAAAATTAAGTAGAAACATACTGTCGCTTAGCGGTACTGAGATTACAACTCCTGTACCGGTACCAATCCAAAGCCGTCGGTTGGATATAAGAAGTGCAGTAGTACGCATGTATGAAAAGTCCAGCCGTGAAGTACCTGAGATTTGCACTAGTGATTGGATGTAATTAAAAATGATGTGAAGACTTAATCAATCGAACCTAGCATTTTGGTAACATATGGTTCAATATCGACATCTTGGAGGTGTTCAAATGTATGAGCATGGTACATGCGCAAAGTGGAATCCAGTCGTATCGATATCCAGACACCAGCGCCTACCCACTGAACTGCGCGCACCTGGCTGTCTCGGCGTGGATGCGCGGCAAATACTTTCTGAAATTTCATGACAGTAACTCTAAATAGTCTAGTTTGACTAATTCGAATTTCCACGGAAAGTCCGAAGACAGTCAATCCATGTTCTATTATTTGATCAACTCACAACAATCTGTAGGCTCTCTCCATCCACTACTACAATACAGTTTTTGTAAGCCGCCCAAATGTTGTTTGCCACGACACAAAGACACCGCACAGATGAAGTAGCTGGACCAACACGAATTGTGTGATATCCAAAATCTGCCCATTCACCACCTAAAAAATTCATCTCAACGTAATGCAATTTATGGAAGGCTTTGCACTAATGCTTCAAGAACAAAGCTTTTGAGTTCCAGTTCCACTTAATGTGGAAAGCTTATACGAATTTACCGGTGGGTGAGAAAAGAGAACTTTGTGAGTAATGGATCCGTAAGCAATGAGCGTTTTCAATGACAATGATGCACTCAAACATTGCAGCAAAAAGATACGAAAACTGGCTGAGAGAAACTATTTAAATCCAATATCGAAAAATTATATGAGACACTCATCCAACCATTCATCAACACCTTCTATCTGCAGATGAACAGTTCGCTGCGGGACAGCGAAAGGCTGCGGAGACAGAGAGGTGGGACTTTTCGTCGATAGCGGCAATGGCGCAGCCTTCACCTCCTTTCGGTCTTTCTTCGCAGGGTGCGCAGAGCACGACCAGTTGTGAGATGGGTGGGGGAGTGTAAGACTTGCGGAGCAGTCGCCACTATTCGATACGCAATGAGACAGTGCCATGTGATTGGAACCAAGCCTCAATCTTAACACGTTGACGACATCGCGCGTTTTGTGTTTTTGCACCGCGTGGGACCAGAGCGGTTTTGCGAGCGCCGCCGCCGCACACCAAATCCATGGATTTTGAGCTGTAAATACGCAATACTTAGATGCGATGAAGTGTTTCCAATAATGTTCGATCTGTCTATGTATCGGGAGTTACAGTAGAGGATATTCGACCGAAATGACGTGGTAAGGCCAAGAAATGGCAAATTTTACTTAATTATCCTTAATGGTTCCAAATATAATTTGGACATGGTTGTTTCGGTAAAAACACACCTTTTCATACGAATAGTTTGGTTTCTTCTATTATTCATTTTTATCAGCATGTTTACGTTAATGAGAAGAAAACGAGGAATGAACTGAACAGACATATCCGTAAGGTCTGGAAAACTCTGCCAAACTAAAGAATATTTGGCCTTTCTGTGAGCCATGTGGTTTTTAAGTATGCTAATGTATGGTCTATAGAATGAGTACAAAGACCTTAGGAATAAGTCGCGCAAGCGCAAGAAAAAGGGATAACTTTGGGTGGACGCGTTACCGCGTCACAATGTCCCACGAGGTGCGCAAATGGACGCGCTCACGGTTCGGTCAACGTGTTAATGAATCATCGGGCACTGCACTATCCGATCAGCACCAGACTTCGAGCATCATTTGATCAGGGTCAAGCGTGCGTTGAGTAATCCTCAACAATTCGACGCGGAAGGGGTAGGGGAGGCCGCAGGGAGCCTGGAGAATGGGTCGGGCTCAGATCGATGCAGTAGAATCATCGACTGTTGGAGAAAAACAACAAAAGGAGCAAATAGTTATTACGCTTGCAAGCTTGGAGAGAGGATTTTTTCTTTGATGAATGGTTTTCAGGGAAGCCAAACAACTACTTCCTACTCGGCTTAGGAGGAAAGCCGTTTCATGGACTTCAGCGGCCGGGCAACGGAGCAGGGTCAACCGTCACGTTCGAACATTTTCAGGGTTTTTGCGACCCCCTTTTCTCAAGGGGGTCACCCCCTTATCTCAAGGGGGTCCAGTTGCGACCCCCTCTTAGGTAATGGAAGTGCCGAATGTGCTGACTAAATGTTAAGTGAAATATTTATTTCACTCATTTTACTTCAAAGACAGTGAACTAAAACCTTTTAAAGACAATGAACTTCCATGACATAGAACAAAACATTTGAATATTGAATTCTTCACTGGCATTTGAATTGAATTCTTTTCAAAAAATCATTGAATTTTTTTCAAAAATTCAATGATTTTTTGAAAAAAATTCAATTCAAATGTTCAGTAAAGAATTCAATATTCAAATGTTGTGTTCGTAAGTTCGTAAGTTCATTGTTTTCAAATGGACAATGAACTTCCATGAAATATGAACAGAACATTTGAATATTGAGATCTTCACTGAAATTTGAATTGAATTGTTTTCAAAAAATCATTGAATTTCTGAAAAAAATTCAATATTTTTTTCATGTTGCCCAAAACTTCAAACTTCATGCTTCCGAAAGAATCACAAGAGCAGTTCAAGGGAGTAAATCAAAGAGAGTTACGTTCTCCATCAATGCATCTCCTAAGATGAGCCCCAAAGGAGCAAGAATCACAGGGCACTGGCTAATGAAAGCTATTTTTTATGGTTAGCCTCGCGAGATCAAAATTTTTGTTCGCTCACAATCACGCCAAAATGAGGATGAAAGCGAAATGTGTAAGACCAAATGGAGGGATATCCAACAAGTAACATGAAGACTGACGAACTTCTGCTCAAACAGCTGAAAAAAGAGGAAGGATTAAAGAAGAGTAGGACTGACATGATTGCGTCAGAAACCGCCGCAGAAAGCGTTTGCGTTGCGGCGTCAACCTTGGAGCGCGGCAGGTATCACCCGGACGCTGGAAAACTGGGACGCGGCGAAGAAAAAGTTTTAGGAGAGTGTAACTTTCTTGAGACGTATTTGTTTCACTTATTGAGGTAGGTTTAAACTGTGCCTGAGGTGGCTTTACAGAAAATTGCAAGGATGACCTAACTCTCCCAAAAGTATTTCTGTCAGAAGCGGAAAACCCAAAATTCTGAGAAGGCGCACCTCCAACTTTGAGAGCTCATAAAATCTTTCGTATGCGACATCTTGGAAATTTGTGAAAAGTTTTAGAAACTTCAAATATTTCTCTAACAAAAGATTATAAAAAGTTAAGTGATTGTCCCCTTTTTCAAAAATTTGCCCCGTTCGAACAGTTCCCGTGCAAAACCGAGTTTTTAAGCTTTCAGCGACTATAACTCACTTCATTTTGATTGCTGTGTTTCCCTCTTTCCATGGGGTGAAAGAGCAGGTTTTGCTCTTTCTAATAAGCCCTAAACCATTTTTCAAAGTTCATTTTTCGAGAAAATCCCACGTTCGAACATTTCGGGCGGTTTTGCCGAACACATTCTTTGAAATCGCGAGTTTTTGGGCTTTCAACGAGCATAACTCGCTTCATTTTGATTGCTGCGTTTCCCTCTTTCCATGGGGTGAAAGAGCAGAATTTGCTCTTTCTAACAAGCCCTAAACCATTTTTCAAAGTTCATTTTTCGAGAAAATCCCACGTTCGAACATTTGGATCCCATAGGTTTTTGAGCAGCACATGCGAGGTTTCGAGCTTTCAGCAATAATAACTTCCTTCAAAGAGCATGTTGGAAAGAGGCGAAGACATTTTTGAAGACCGCGAGGGTTTCTTCTTTCTTATGTGTTTCACGATTTTGTGGAAGAACCGTCCGTAGAAAAGTAGGTTCCCGAAGAAGTTCAATTTCAGCCACAAGAAGTCAAACTTTTCATGGAGATGCATTCAACTGTTCTCTATTCCTCAAGGAAAACACCGTAATTTGCCCAAAACTGTCTCTTTGTGCATAATTAATCGAATCTAATGCGGTCTGCACAAACAATTCTTGCCCTCGGATACGCCACGCACGCGCCTGTGGCTGGCAGTCCTCGAAATTGCGACCCCCTTCCGACCAAAATGCGACCCCTTCGTTCGAACAGTTCGAACAGACGGTTGACCCTGAAGGAGGGGTGGTCGTATTTCAGGCGTTCCTCGATGTTGGCGCTTGATCGATGATTGGATGAAGAGCAAAGAATTCTGTGGACGACGTATGAACGGCAAGAGGAGGGAGAGATTACTTTTGAGATGCTAGCGTATCTATTGGAAAAAGTACCAGAAGTCCCAATGGGAGAAATAATCAACCAATTCGATGTGGATTATGAACTGCGAATACGTGTAAATAATGCTATATACACTTGACCCAACATGTTTTGTAAATTGATGGATGGCAACAACGGTCATTGGCCATAGGACGATCCAATAATGGTAAACAAATAAACGAAATGTACCTTTTGCTCTATGAAAAACGGCAAGAGTTCCATTGGCCAATGCAGCAAAGACGCGTCCTTTGTAGTGTCTGCAGGAGAGTTAAAAATTTATAGGTATAGGTAGAGAAGATGCAGCAAAAAAAGGTAAAAGAAAACCGAAAGCATTGATCCGCTCACATAATAGAAAGCACGGCATCCGGCATTTTTATCCGTCGTAGACATCGTTTCCATGATGCCACGGCTGAGTGTATATAGATGCTAAACGAGCTTGAATAAGCAGCATCTCAGTATTTTACAACAGATCGACTAAATCAGACTACATCAAAAGTTTGCGCTTCCTTAACCATCAAAATGCCAGTAATTTTGGTTTTTAATGCGTACTCGTTCGTCCGATCATAACGATCGCAACGATCGGACAACCGACTGTGAATGCGCCCTTAAGCAGATTAAAGACAAACTGTGAAACATCGAACAACTAACTACTGATTCTGGCTGCCCATCCATACGGTGGGCCATCCTGTGGGAATGTCAGTGACGTTCTCATCGTACTTGTTCATTGCTTCACGAACATGCGATGGCAATGCAGCCCTTCCAACCCGACTTCCGGATGGTCGTTGAGGCTCCACATCATCTGGAATGACTCGAAAATGGCAAAAATGACATATGTACGTGACATATCAGATGCATGGTCAGTAGTGAAAAAGAACGAAATAAACTGAATGTGGTTCGACACGAAAGATGAGTGGCAACTGAAACGGTGAGGAAGCATGAAAGCAAACTACCACTATTACCCAGGTGAGGAAAAAACAGCAGAAGCTTAATGTTGATAGCCAACCACAAAGCGCAGTACAACACCTATATTCCACCTTTTTGTTCTTTCGATTTTTCGAGTAGAATCAGTACGTTAGTCTCAGGAGATTCAGCAGTATTTTCAGCACTCTGATCCTCCGATACCTCCTCATCTACTTTATCCATTGGAACTGGTTTCACTATAAACGATCAAAATTCAGCAATCATGCCCCTGCACCGATACCTTTTTTTCAATACATTGACAAGGAATTAGTATGTAAGGACAACGAAATCACACCTTCAGCTGATCCGGTGACTGCTTCTGTGTCGCTAACGCTAACTGAAATTAAAACGAATTGTGGGACAAAGTGAACACGGAAACAAAGAAGCCACTTTCACTGGAACGCCACCGAGTACGCACATGAGTGTGGGTAGTCGAGACACAAGAGCACATGGCTAGGGTAAAAAAAAGAAGTTAAAAAAGTGGGGGAAGATGGAATGAACTCACAATCTCGAGTTCGCTTCGGACTTGGCCGCATATCGTTGCTGCAGTATGTTGGAACACCATCTTCGGAGTCCTCCATCTTCCGTAATTCTACCCACTCGCAAGCGCCCAATTCAGAGAATTCGATGCCTGGAAAAAGGAATGTCTTTTTGCTGTGAAAAATATTTTAAAAAAATTATCGTGTGGGCACACACCATCCGGTACATCTTTGACCTTGCCGCCTCCACATAAGAACGCCTTTGCACCTGCCTCATCCAACGAAGGATCATCTTCGGACACACCTGATAAAGGTCATTTTAAAATAGGTTAATAGGAAATACAAACCATTTACTAAGTGATCGAATTTTTAAGCCGAAAAATTATACTACACACAACTCACCTGGGACACCACGTATACACAGCAGATGGCTTTCGCATGCACGGAATGTCTCAACAACATTGTTCGGGTTATTGGCGTCCAACACTGCCACATGACTTTTGCCTTGATTTGAGCTGCCAACCCAGATAACTGACGATGTCTGCCATTCTGCCAGCTCACATTCCCTGGCATCCAGAGCACGAGCGCGCTTCAAATGTAGGTACTCATTCAAAACGTATCAAGAAACATATTTGGCACCAAAATTGCCATACCGATATCTCATTTTCGAGCTGGTCGTCGCTATTTGCACCTCGTGGAACCTTAGCAGCGCTAGGAGAAAAGTACACTGGATTTCCTGTAATGAACTTTCCATCCTTGTCGATTCCTCCACGGAGGATCACGGATGTCGCACACCAAACCTGCAAAATTTTGAGCTAGCTGTTTGCGGACCCATGAGAAATGTAACAATCCGAACAAAATGAGAGGAAAATTCAAAGCTATGATAGGTTCATAAGTGAAGATTTTGACCTTGATAGATGGCTGGTTTTCCATAAGTGGACGGCAACAAACCGGGACTGGTACCATGGTTGAGGCATTCGACTTGTCCAATACAGCTGGCAAAGACCACCCATATGCCTGAATAAATGGTGTTTTCATAAAAAAGATTTTAATTTCATAACAAAAGCAGTTGTCAGTTCGAAAGGAAATAACCAAGTTATTCAGCAGTAGGGGAATTGATTAGCGACAAAAGCACTGCATTTTCGCTCGTAGATTAGGCGAACAAAACCTCCAGAAGTGAAGCGACCCATAAAGCAACAAATTAGGATTTACAGGGCGGTGTCATACTTTGCGAATCCAGCGATTCGTTAGCGAATGGCGGGGTACGAGCGCTGCATGATCGAGCGACGTATCAGCGGACCGAACGATGTACCAGCAAGTCGGTAGTGTTGGGAGTGGTGGGACACCCTCTCGTCTGCACGTTGACTCTCACCACTTTCCCACTCTCGTGTGGGCATGAGAGAGCGAGAGAGCATCAAAGCCCAGGAGTGGCCATGCAACGCTCGTATGGTCGGTTCGCTAGCGAATCGCTGGTTTCGCGAAGTCTGGAACCGACCATAAAATGACTAGTCCTTCCAGAAAACAGAGACCGTCTGCACGAAATCTCCTCATCAACCTCCTACAATTTCATTACACCTGTGAGTGGGATGCATAAACATTGCGCCCATATCGCGCACTGATTTTTATATCAGGGTAAAAACCAGTTTCTCAAGGCTTCTTCCTTATCACTTCACTGTGTTCTAAGCTGAAGACTCAGGTCTGAGCAGCATATCCACATTTCTAATGATCCCGTCATAACTACAGAGGGCAGTGTTCACCGCTAGAAGCAGCTGCTGATGTACTTCGGAGTTTTGCTTTCGACGCGGAACACATAAGTAGTTGACTGCGTCCACGATAACCCCCTGATCTCATAGCTAGTGCACAGCTCATAATGGATGAAACTGGCCGCAGCCGAGTAGTTCAGCTTCTTTTTCAACAAGGAAGCTATGGTAATGAGGTGTTTGTTTTCTGCAACGTGACTCCTCATTCGCAATTGAAACTCCAAAAGCAGTGGAATAGGCTTCAAGAGGACTGAGCACAGTTACAACTTTGTTGAAAAGATTGAATTAAAGAAGAATAAACTCCTACCCAAACATGATACAGCCTCATATGGACAGGCACAGCCTCCACTCTAGGTGTCATTTATGCATCCCACCCGGATTTTAATGTGGTCCATATCCACATTGAGCCATGCGTGGGTGGAGACGATTAAATGGCCGTACAGTTTTTTGAGCATTTCCCTTCTTTACCTTCTCAAAGACTAGCACCGAGGAAACAGACCACATTAAAAACACTGCATTCAATAACTTCGCTTGATAATTACCATTTCCAAATGCGGTTTTCGTTTCAATTTTGTGCAGGCGGTTTTTAAGCTTAACAAAAAGTCTACCATAGGCAACTTGAAGCTGTTTTGAGCGTTTTTCGACACAGATAGTGGCTATAAAAGTAGATTCAAATACCTGCCTCATAACATAACTACTATATTTGTGCTTTTTACCTCAATTCGACCACTGTCATCCCGTTTAACGTGCTCACGTACGAGTTTGTACTGTTCCCTTCGCTCAGCGGCTCGTCGCTCTGATATCCTGAAGCCAACATATATTTTTATTTATTTTTGTAAAATAAAAATTTGACAATAAACAAAGGATGCGCAACTCATTCGTACAAGACTGTACATAGTACAAAACGACACACGTTCTTCCTTCACAATTAGAAGGTGCATTCAATAAACATGTCTTTTACATTCCGATAAAGCTCCACGTGTCTAGTAATACTGCCAGGCTAGCAAACTGATTAAAAAAGCCGGACCTATCAAAGCATCAGCATGCTAAAAAGGAACAAATAAGGTCAACATAATTGTAATCCTATTGCCAGCCTCTACAGGCGTTGTGCGTGTGAAAATGCCTACGCTTGAGAGCCATCAAACACATCACGCTTCGCACGCCATACAGGTTCAAATAGCACAACAGAAGCCCGTGTGCTGACCATCACGATCGAAAATGAGCAAGAAACTCCTTTTGAATTTTATTCAACCCCTCCACGATGAGTGCCGCAAAAAGAGTGCGTTAGCGTTAGCGTATTTGGAAATAAAAATGCACTTAAAATATTTTTTTCACAGAAGAAAACACAAAGTCTCCTTCCACATTTCCGACCGGAGGTTTAGCATCTAACTCAGCTCTTACTTCATATCACTGTTTCTCATTTACCAACATATCTTTCAGATTTGAAACACACTGAGATGTATTGAGAATAATTTGAAATACGTCTACTCGCTAAAAACTTAATCCAAACATGCGCTCATTTATGAGAAACAGTGCATAGCAATGATGCAATGAGCAAGTACAGTGACCACCGATGACGCAACTGAATGTGCATCCTCATACATTTTTCTTTTCATAAAATATCAGTACTAATTGGTTTAATATGAATTCCAGACAGCTGCAAAAATGCACTGAGTTCTGGGAATGAGTACGAACTAGAATTTTAAGACTAGCAGGCCGTGCACTTTTGCTGATATCTGAACGTTTGCTGAGGCAAAGCGACCATGCACGTACCAGAGAACTAGACAAGGACCACAACAAAACCATGAAAACTGGCCTTCTTGTGACAAACTTGCATAAAAGGCAAGCGAAACAAAAGCAAAAGATGGACATAATGCGTCATGCTTAAGACAAGCGACTTAAAACTACTACACCAATAAACTAAACAGCAGGACCAAGCGCGGTGCACATTTCAGCTTTGAAATAGCTTCTCCATAAACATATGCACTGGAGGATTCATTTAAAAAATATAACATCTCTAAATTTTCGTTCACCCGTGAGACTATACCCGTACAAAAAAGGTAGGCTTGGAAAGACTGAGGTAAAGATGTTGAATAAAAAGGGGAAACTAAGGCCACGCTGGAAAAACAGTACGACAGAGTACAACAAACACTGCACGAACATTCTAATCTAATTTGCTACTGACATTTCTGGATCCAAGTACTCCACACTTCGTGTCATTTGACTTTTTCCGCGTGCGTCAGCACGTAACCCCGCTCGACGAGGCTGAGTTGGTGGCGATGTATCACCGAAAAGGCCCGAGAAACTGCAAATACATAGACAAGTGAGCAAGGAGTCACAAAAAGCAAAATATAATACTCACAAGTCCCAGATTCCTCCTTTTTTGGGAGGAGGTGCTTGCGCTTGGAGTTTCCTTGCTCTCTGCATCTCAGTCCACTTGAGAGACTCTTCCAATTCCATGAGTTTTTCCTATTCAGTGGAACTTTTAGCAAACAGGAGAACAATTGTGCAAAGAAGTAGTAAAATAACTGAAAGATTAGTTTACTAAAAGTACCTTGTACATATTTCTATCGATAAGGACCCGCTGCATCTCCATGCGTGTGAATCTCTTTCTCTGCGCTAGCGGTACCTCTTCCTAAAACGACAAATATTCAGTTCGTTCAGGTTCAGGAAGTTAGAAGAAAAACCTCTTCCTCGGCTTCCTTCTCGGCTAATTTCTGCTTCACAGATTTCAGCTCCTCTTCGAGTTTCGCAATGTTTTCGCTCATTTTGACTCGTACCATCTCGAAACTATGCACCTCATCTCGGAGAATCGCATTTTCGCTAAAAAGGAGAGCGTATAAGAAAATAATACATAACAGTGTTTTATATGAAGTAATCTGAGTAACCAAATAACAGCAAAGAAAATACAATTATCACCTGCTCAATTCATCAACTCTTGCAATAAGATCATTCTTAACGATATTGAGAGCATTCTTCATATCGAGAAGTTCCATATTTTCCTTGATAAGGTTTTCAACTTCTCGCCCCATTCCTAAATAGGAACGGTAAATTCAAACCACTCTGCAAATTGCCACTGAACTTGCAATTCATAGTAGCATTTGAACACATGCAAAATCTTTTTCACATATAATGGATCGCAAAGGATTGCCGGTTCGTCCGATAATCGTCAACGAGGTAAAAATGCAAAATCAGTTACGAACATTTCCACTTCGCAAACACTTCACAATGTAACAAAAACATACCTATGAATGTGTCGTTCACTGAAATTATGTCTATGTTAGTCATGGTTAATTAAGAAATGATGACGGACTCCAACTCAACGTGCAAAGCAAAAGGAAAACGAAGCAAACGAGTACACAGCGTGCAGTTGTGCATAATTTCCATGAAGGGTTTTGAATCATACAAGGGATTCCACAGTGAGCAGATTACTGGTTACCGTAATTTAGCTTTGAGAAACATGAGAACGCGGCAGGAAATTTCGGGAATTCCATGTAACAAAAAGTAAATTAAGCAGGCTTGCTTGTCACTCCTTCACACATAGTTTGTCACAAAAGCTCCTTATTCTACGACTCGCGGGCTCAATGTTATAAAATAGCAACTTCTCGAATACTGCTGTTTCATCAATACTCTTCAAGAAAAAGTTTGGAGATTTCGTTACAACCGGGCATTTGATGCACTCACCGCATGAGTACCGTACACAGTAATCTCCTCACGGCAAATGTGCTCATTGTGACGACCAGACCACTTCACAACACGTGGTCCTGACAACACAACCTAACTTTTTCTGGGAATTTGGTACACAGGAGGATAGGCTCGTCTTACCGCTCTCCGACTCCAGTGACACCGAACGTCGGCGATGCTCGCGCTTCTGACGAAAATGATCTCCATTCTCGACGTCTGTTGAATGGTACACCACATTACCACAACATTTAGCTACTAAGGAAAATGAAAAGATTGTCTAGTGCACAATCGTACACCTATAGAAAAAACTCTCAAAATCTAGGCGCTAGCGAAGCCTCAGACTCGACGTGTGCATCTACCATCGCATTGCGTGTGACATCTGAGTTTTCACGACAGTCTTTTCAACCACATTTTTCATTCTAACCAATCGGACACGCATGCGATACTAAAGATAGCAGAAAGCTGTAATTCTACGTGACAGCCATGCTCTTGTACAGAAGATGCGCAACAATTACCCGCTGATGCAAACTCCGCCGGATCAACGAGATTGCCTGTAGATAATAGAAGAGAAATTGAAGGTAAATGGCACAAATGTCTTGCCTACAACGTTACGAAACAGTTACAAGGTTTGTCCGTAGAAAGAAACACAAAACCCTGGATAAGTGGAATTAATGAAGAAGAAAACAATAGTGAAAGTCGAGCTGAAACTAAGAATCAAGGGTCGAAGTGCTCGCGAAACCAAATTTGGTGACTACAGGCTACTACAGTTAAGATATAAATTTAAAAAATAAAAATATTGCAAATAACCTACCAGTAAGATCAGCGCCCAGAGAGTCTTCACCATCACGCTGTTCCTCACTTTCCCTTAAAAAGCGAATGACTGAGATTGGTAAACAAACTTCATCCAGAATTAAATGTTATATCTGACGGCCAAAAAAAAAAACTGAACAAATTCTCAAGGGCCGTATGCTATCCTCCCCGAAGGGGTTGGGGGACGAAAATCCTTTAAATTTTCTCTGTCTTCCCAACTGGGATTGCCCTGATAAAGGGCCTACATTTAATGTATGTATGTAGGTTAAAGTAAACATGCACTGAAAATGAAGAAACTATATCGTTCAAAACAAATAAATTTAAAGGAAACTTTGGATCACCTAGCTTCGGGGAAGGATAGCATACGGCCCAAGTTTTTTGACTGATCAATACTAAACGTAGACGATAAGATAATGCACATTTTCTCTGTAACCTTTATACAGTAAAAGCTTGTAATGTAGCAGTGTACATTTCTTATGTG